TTGGATGCCCCTACACATGGTAAAACAGACCTTGATGGGAAAACAAATCGCTTGTGCAGATAAACAAGCTTGAAAATCTTTGCTGTGACTTCATGGACGTTTTCCAGGAGTTTATGTTTTTCAAAATACAAGGTCTTTAACAAAAAATAACGTATACTTATTGTCGTCGGATTAACACCAAATTTTCACAGCTTTAAGGTGACAATGAGAGGAACTTGAATGTGTCCAGACAAACTATTTCATCGATTATTTACCAACGAGTTGTGGTTTGAGTTGGGGGCAATGCGACTAAAACAGTAATTGAAATTCAGCACACTATTTTTTAAAACGCGTTGCTTGAATAAAACTGACCAGACACATTCAATTTACCAGACTATTGCCAGTGAACAACTAGGAAAAGTGAAAGAAAATACTTTTTATCGCCAGCCTAAATGCGTAATTATTTTTTTTTACAGAAAAAGTAATTTTTCACCTTTGATTGAGTAACGAGTCGTAGAATGCAGATACGGGCATGCAAAATACACTTGTGAAAAGCTTGAAGTCTGGCGATTCTAAAAATATATACTTTTCCGGGTCTATTTGTAGTCATTTAGTCACAATTAGAAGATGAAAACAAGTATGCAAATAATAGTCTCGCTACCTTAAAAGCGAACACATTATTACATAGAACACTTTCAAGTTCCTGGGGTATTTGAAACCAAAAATTGTCATTCTAGCTCATCAGCCAATCATCGACAGTTAGATGACACTTTCGGTTTAGGGTAGTCATATGTTCAATTTTATGGATTTCAGTTCGGGCTTATAAATGTATATTATTTGTATACATTTGGGGAAATAGTGTATAAAGCAATTATAGACAATACGGAGAAAAGGCCAGTTATATAACGCAAAATATAATAATGCCCCTCCCCCCCTCTTCGCTGTCGGACAATTTCTAGCTGGCCAGAAAACACGTGACAAAACAAAATAATTATGTAATGTATTCCATAAACATGAAATACGCGTGGTCAAACTACAGCGGGAAGTATAGCGTCTATGCGTTTTCCGAGGTCTTCGAGACCTCCTCGTAGAACATACCGGTTTCGGGTCAAATGTTACCACTCGCAGCGTTGGTGGCGCTTCATACTGACGATATCTCCGCTAGGCTGAATATGTGTGAAAATGTTGAGGAACGGCCTGGATAACTAAAGCCAAGTCAGAATGTTCCATTGGTGGCCTAACGCAGAAAATAATAAAATGTTTCCGGAAATAAGTTGATTGTTGTTGAGATAGTGTTCTAAATTGCCAGGTATTCTTCATCTGAGGCAAATCGAAGTGTGAATATTTCAAATCGTAGACGGTTGAAGTCGTTGTAATTAATTTAGTATTTTCCTTTTTTAGAAACAATCGTAACTTTGAGAACAGCGAATGTTGTCGAAATCGATCGGCTTCTATGATAGCTTATGCTAATGTCAACTCGTCACAATTCCGAGTCCGGGGGAATTTATCGCATACAGCATTTGTAAGAGTACTAGTACTCATTAGTACATTGATTTTTCCCCACTGCAATGCGCTCTTCTAATGGAAAACACGAGTACGAGTACGACGTGCATTCATTGCCGCCGGTGACTCTTTCAATGCCAAAGAATTGTCTCGTTAAAGCTTGGTAACAACTCAGTTTGTACTCGTTAGTTTGCGCGACAGTCAAACTTGCCATCTTTTGTTTATATGAGACCCATTATTCGTGCCTGCGTGGCGCGATGACCACCTCAAACATAGTTGGTCCCTGGCGGCACGGTGCTTTTTGCATTTTGCTGTTTCCAACTGGATTATTGTTTATGTGGCCTTGTGCACTATAAACTCGCACTTGTCCATGCATTTTTTTTTCTTCAATAAAATACAATTTTGCTATACAAGGGTGCAAACTACATGAAGTACCGAAAAGCGCAAGCGAGAAAAAAAGCGACGAAAAAAGTAGAATTACTTCGGAAAGAAGGAACATTATTATTATGCTATAAAAGGTTTTAACGATTGAATTGAAAGGGTTCATTTAACATTATGCATATCAGAATTCCTCTTAAGGTAGTTTTTAGTCGAATTTTGCAGTACTGAACGTGCTATATAATTATGGAAAATGTCAAATTTTTGGAGTCAATACTTCCATTGTAAACAAAAATTGAAAACAATTATCACTGGAAACTCACTAAATGAAATGTCACTTTTTAAATATTTAATAGTATTAGGATTCATATCAATAATACTATAGGACATTTACAGCTCAGGCAACTGATCCAAATTGAAACTAGAATGGAAACTAGCGCAAAATTGCAAATTTTTACCGTATTCACTATATTCCAGACTCTTGTTTTTTGACAAAATTGCCAGTGACCACAATGTTGTAAGTTTCGATATCATCGTGACATCAAATAATTATAATGGAATCATGAAAAAGACGATATAATCTTAAATTCGACATACTGAGTCATAAATATGTGCACATATATTAGCGCATATTACAGTGGTGCGGTTAAATGTCAACATTTCTATATAATACACCTAATAATCGCGCCCTCTGGTGCCGATGCCGTTCAAAGTGTTGATATGATTTTTATTTGTATTTTTGAAAGATTTTACTATATGACGAACGACTACACAGCCAATCACCATTACGTCATTTTGACGTCACTGAAGTGATCCGTCACTAGAGGGCGTTATTTATAAGAATTCTATACAGTATGAACTGTTTCAGTCATAGTCAACATGTCATTTTTTTGTTTACCTGAATGTATGCAATTTATTTACAAAAAGACTTATTATTAAGACTTCCATGTAACTGATTGTTTGCGACAACGTGTTTGGCATTCTACGAATAATAATATATTAATTCTAATTTTAAAAATTGTGAATTAAAAAGCGTACCATTACAACTTTTCTCCTTGTGCCTTCTGACGTGAAACGGTAAAGTATATACAGTTGTAACAGTGAGAGAAAACAACAAAGGCAGTAACATCAAAGTTGTTCGTTTTTTTTTTCTTCATTGAAAAATCGCTCCATGCAAGTCGATGATGGATGAGGTACGTGTAAAATTTGAAGATTATCAATCAAGGCATGCCAGAGATGTGGCCCTGGAACTGCATTCGTTAAAATGCCCATCGGTCGGCCATTTTGAATCATCAACATAAGGTCTTATTATGTTCCGGAATGGTGGAAATATATGCTTGACTTGATGCGCCATTCGACCATCTCGAATTCATTCAGGCGAGTGCATATGCATATGTATATATTAGGTTGCAGGTTCAAAGTTTGAATGTGAGCAATCAAGACACATTATTTGTTAAAACAAAATGACCGTCAATCGGCCATTTTGAAATTACGCATATCAATGTCTATTATGTTTCAATATACGTACCAGATGTGAACATTCCAGAAGCATTTACAGCTGCATACAATCTTGAATTGGACCATGACATTAATGTATGGGATAAAAACGTTTATCCGTAATGTGCATCGGCGCAAGAGGGCGACATACAACCAATGTTTGATAACAATATATGTTAAAAGTCAACCATCAGTTGCAATGAACATGGTTGCCATGGCAGCTAAAGTATTACCCCTGTCGCATGCACATGTCACGGGGCTGGAAATGTTGACCTTCCGGTTGGCGACAGATGCGAGTAGAGAATGTGTATAATCTCATAAGCCCATTCGTTTTACATTGAAAACAACATTTTCATTAGTTGTACGGGTTAAAGGTCAAACGTCCGCCGAAATCGGATTACTGTATATACTTATTTGTTATTCCAACTAAAGTAATATTATAACTATATGTCATTCATTCGCTTACGACACCTTTTTTTAAAGGGTTTACAGCTTCAGTATACTTCAATGCAATGTTTTCGTTCTCGATTAATTGTTTATGATATAAGTTTTCCACGGACGAAAAAGATACACCAAATATAGTCATGTAAATTTCCGAGGTGTTTTCGATAATCACGTGTGCTTGTGTCACTGTGAAGGTATGACTGCTCATCACGTCGTCCTCGTAGCCTACCCAGTGTGCATTGCGACTGCTCATATTTGGCTTTCGCCACACGCCATTGTATTTCATTATCAATATGGTGCGAGATTCATTTGGCCTTGAATTATCATTACACTGTTCAAGCGAAGCGAATGGACGTATATATTTTAGGTGTTAACATCGTTAATATACTACATTGTAATACAACGATATTTTAAAATTAAGTTATGTTTTAACGGCAATACGTGGTTACCGTACACGAAACTGTATGTTACCCGTATTGTACAACACATTGCTGTCATGAAAACCTCGCAATCGTGAATTTCAGTAAATTTGTGTTTTTGTCACCGATACCATCAATCATGGTAGTCCATGCATCAATATACGAAAATGTTTACACATGAGAAGAATAATTAAATAACCGCATTCCCGAACACATATTTTTTTTTTTTTTGAAATTATTTAGAATAATGTTTTTGTATTTGTGCTTATTTTTTTTAGTGTTTATTTGTAAAAAAAAAAAAATAGACCAAGGTAGCTGCAAACCTGGAAGGTGTACCGCCATTATTATACCATTGTGCGAGATTGTTTTACGCGGTGTGTGCCGGTAAATGTTTGACATATAGTACCGTGAAATTCTGTAAATGTGTAGTGGCTTTGTGCAAATATGAGTAAACATGAGCTGTTTACGGTGAGCTTGCATCGTCCCTGACGTAATCCAGTCAAACAACATTGCACGCACGTGTACTTGAAAAGAAAATACACTTTCCCAAGCAAGAACATTATTATCAAAATTGTAGCAACGCTGGCGGATTTACAGACTCGTATGCTATGAACACGGTAACAGCGTTTAGGTATTTAGTTCTGCAATCCGTATTTTACAAACATGTTGATTTACGAGACGTATTACCCCCGTGTGAAACATACGAGTTAAATCATTTTAGTTCAGTCCTGTCCTGACTCGTTATACAAGCATACAATTGAAAGCTATAAGGAGAAAATACCCGATTTTATCCCATGCTTTATTCTATCACCCAAAAGAAAATACATACTATCTTTGAGAGAAGAAAAAATAAGCATAAACCAATGTAAGAAATCACCAATAACGTCCATTCCAGTCACCGACAAATTTCAATAAGTTTATTATACATTCCCGTCCATGTTAAATATTACAATATTTCTATGACAAAATAAATTATTTCCATATAATGGTTCAAATGCGTATATACACATAGTTTACACTAAATATTATGTTACAAATTACAATTTTATTTAAAATTTACAGGGTTTAAAATTGCTTCCCACAACATGCCTTGATCTGTATTGCTCGCAACCCCAAATAGAATTCCCCGATTCTACTCTATGTTATATGTTACTAATTTGAGTGATTAAATTGCAAATGCACATTTTTTTTATAATTTCCTGCAACAATGCTTCCCGTCGTCTACATGGTACGATTGAAATATTCAGGCTTTGATATTCCGGTAAGATAATGTTTTACCCTGAAAAACTAAATGTGTTGTTTGAAACAAAAATGCTAACGAGATTGTCAAGAGTTCACAGGTTCATGTGAGATTTCCGGACAACGTCGTCAATTTCGACAACATATGTCTTTATGTTGAAAAGAACTGTTCCTTCACCAGGCATCGTTAGTTATTAAACAAACTATATTTAAATATACCAGTAAGAACACAAAAAATAATATGACTAACATTTTTTAACAACAGCTAAGCCGAACTTTCAAGTTAATGACAGTCTCATGCTTACTCGTTACATACATCATTTCGTCCGACGCTGCGCGGCGACAATCAAAAAGTAGAAACAGTGTTGCAATCTTGACAGGGGAAAGAAATCAGGACGGAAGAGACATATCAAATTAAATTAGGAGTACAGTTACATGCTACACGTAAGATACAGAGAAAACAGATAAATAAAACGAGAGTAAATGTTATGTAAATTTAAGTACAATCGCAGGTCAAATATAGGATTATATAAGGCTCTGTCACCCATGCTACACAGAGGTGTCACATATTTGATTCTCAATACACGTCTACGTCGAGCGTTTAGTTTTCTTATCAAACTCAACCCTTCACCCATCCAAGCACCGGAATACCCCGTTTCTCCGCCCCCACCAATCTTTGCCTACGCACCAAAACTGATGTACTATGAAGCCAAATTGCCCTATGCAATAACCAACATCCATTCACCAATTGAATTGATAAGCATTCTTGGGTCTGGCGGCCATCGCGACATCCTACATTGGATAAGACAATTATTAAATTAGTGCTATTCACCCCACTCCAACCCAACTCGTCCACCACCTCAACAGAAACTACTATCTACAAATCTGAATTTCAAATTGAACAAGCGAAGAGTGATTTTGCAGGCTGCTCTAGATCTGAGTTGATCAACGATATCCTCTCACCACGTGACTACTGCCTACACCACTGCCAGCACCACCAATGCCAACACCGCTTTTAACGTAATCATTGATTGTGATGTTATACGGCGACCCTAACAATGAACCCTCCACGGTATTCGTGAATAACATACGAACAAATAACAGGCTAATTCAAACCATATACATTATATCATACGCTATAAGTTACAGCGTACGGTATTGCGATATTGCGCTCTGTATTTTCATCCTACCATATTAGGAAATGCGAAATACGGAACGAATACGCGCGTAAGCGTCCTCTAATAATAAAAACAAACATGGCAGCCCCCAGGACCCCATACAAAGAAGTTCGCTCAATCTATTTTAAATTTTTTGTACTTCGGCATTCCCGTGATGTATCCTTGGGAGGACAAGATATACTCACTCAGTACTCACTCAGACAGTACGCCGTCGCATCGACCTCCGCTGCGCGTCAGTCGATACTTTCGCTGTACTGTCTTCGTGCATACATTTCGGTATCCTCGTAATAACCTCATATTAATGTGATTTGCCCTAATTTCAATATACATATACCACCTATCATCACCAGCCGATACCCGACTCTACTTGCAAGTCTCACTTATTTTTTAGTAAGATTCCATTATGCCCCCAGGATCCTATATATACCCAGAATATAATTAACAGAAAGGAGCTGACTATTGAAGAGATGTCAGATACGGGTGATTGCAACCGCTGGGGTGCCTCATCGATATATGATGTTAATACAACTGTCGGCGGGTAAAACTTATTTTCAGATAATGTTGCTACCCCATTATCTACTGCACGACTTGCGGTTTGGTTTTTATTTTCGTCTCCTCTTGTCGACTTCTTCGTCTTCAATCCTGGCCGTTTGCACAACTTTTTGGTAACACTGTGAGTCAGCATGCATGACATCTGATATTTCCTCGTCCTGTTGCAGTTTGTTCTTGAGTTTCTCCAACGGGGTTTTTCCTTTGTAGTCGCCGTCAGTGGTTTGATCCTCTAACAACTGAGCGAGTGCTGGGTCCATGTCCTTACCAGCGGGTTTCAGTCCCGCGAAGTCGTCAATACATACCGACAAGTCCAATCCGTACGCCAACTGTAGTGCTCTGAGACATCCCGTCATGTCCGCGCTATTGCACACTAGTTTGAACCACTCTGTGATGCCTATCAACGCGACATCCAGGGACTCGTCCGGATGACTCTGAATTGCAATTTCAACTTCCGCAGCCCCATCACCGTTTGGCTCACTGCAAGATTCAGCGGTTTGAAGTAGCTGATTCAGAAAGTAGTCCCTTTGTCGGAAAGCCCAGTTTTTGATGCTCTCTCCTTCCTGTAGAACACCACTACTCAGCGCCTGGACGTAGGTGGATACGATTCTTTCAATTGGATCGGACAAAATCGTGAAGTAAGAACAACTCGCGGGAGCTACGATATCACAAATTCCAAGAAGATTCTCGCCCATTAGAACTCGGTTAGGCAACGTTTTTGACGCCCTGGCATCCTCGTAAAGTTTCGCAGTAGCCGTCGGGGTAACGAGGAATGGCCTGTTTCGATCTTCGGTAGCTGCTCTGTCAAAACAATTCTTCAACAACTGACCTCCTGCGTTTGAATTGAGTAAGTATACGATGTATTCTTTCTCATCATACGTTATTTCCATGTCTGGATTTTCTTTTAACTGCATGAACAGGTTAGATTGGTAGTTACTCTTCGTCGTCAAGACCTTCACTGCCTCGATGTGCGGAACATCTTTAAACGGGTTGTTATTTGACACAACGTCCTGTTGTGCGCCAGCGGTACCATGACCTCCATCGCCATGCTGTGCTCCAGCGCTGCCTCTGGTGAAACAAACAGAAGATGTACATTAGCAGTCGTCGTTTATTTATTTATTTATTTATTTATTTATTTATTTATTTATTTATTTATTTATTTATTTATTTATTTATTTATTTATTTATTTATTTATTTATTTATTTATTTATTTGTTTGTTTGTTCATTCCTTTATACATTTATTTATTCATAATTGTGTCCCCCGTTTTCATACCCAAATTATATTAAACTTCGCTTTGACGCTATGATCTCACGATTCTGTTTTAATAATTGGTGTGTGTATTTAAGTTGACATCAGGGAGTTTGTGTCGGTGGAGTCCGTTATTTCGCGGAGATTGTGTTATTCAAACCAAGGAGTCGGAAGTGATGGGTGTATAGACCACGGACCCTATTTTCAAAATAGAATGTCGTGCGAATACAGACTCCATTCACATGTTGGCACAGTACCAGCTCCGCCGACGACGGACGTGCTGGGATTGTATATCGCAAACTTACACACGTATATTATTAGCATATAAAAACGAACCATGCAAGCTGTTATTACCGAACTGTGAAACGACGATAGTCTCGCAAAATATAAAATTTGCAACATTTTACTGGGTTTCCGTGATATTTCCGTCGAACCCGGAAGCAAAACGAGATCGTCGAAATCACGCGAGATTTGCAACACAGAATTCAAGAATTCTGCGGCTTTCCACACTTACGCATTTCTTGAGAATTCTGGAACGCACAAGCCTCCTTTTAGTGAACGACCTTTTTTAAAGCACACTCTTTTTCAATTCTGCAATATACCCAGTTTAGAAGTACCAATCGAAATCACTGTGGGACTGAACACTGTTGTCCTTCGTGTTATCGAATCCCTAATGATACTTGACATGCACGAGTGTGGTGGGGATATTCGCTGCATAATCCCGGTAGTTTGCGGAGGGAATCGTTATCATGTACGTCTTTAATATTATGCCATTACCTTGACTAACATTAGTATTTTTATTGATATTATTTAATGATTTTACGCATACAGTGCGTATTTACAAGAATGAACTTCAAATTCACTGTCTGTGTCAGAATTTTGGAGTTATCACGCGACGTTCAATTTCTAAATAATAAGATTTCTAACATTATAACTAACATTGGTTCATCATTTGCGGGGGTACACGAAACCGTTCCAAGAACCCCCTTATCATTATTGCTGATCCGAACTAAATTAGAGCGGATGCAAATATGTGAACTCAGCGAACGGTTACCGCCATGGCGTATTGAAGACCATAGTGGAGTTATAGCATATTAATGAATGTTATTTTATATAATCATGAAAGGTATTAACGGATAATTAATTAATACCTTCCATGATATAATAAACTAAAACGCAAAGCGCTTAGGTTCCTAGAACACACAGCGAACAGGAAATGACGTAAAAGATACGACAATGATAACCATGTGAGGGCGCTTCTGTGTGATTTAAATACACCGCATGCTGGCGTGTTTTCCAGTGACACGTTATCGTTGATCGCCACAATATGCCGCAGCCCTGATCCAGAATAAAACTAATTTGAACTGACAGTGTGGCAACTGGCACGATGACGTTTTCGCCATAAGCCTCTTATTACTGGAATTAGCGAAAATCAATATACCAATATCGTCTTATGAATTTCCTTAAAAATATGACTAGTTTACCAACAATTTAGTTAGAGTTGGTTTGCAAGGTAAAACGATCGTAGCATACCGCTGCCTGTTTAATGCTTACAGTCATGACATGTGTGTTAACCGAATTTAGTGGTTATTCAATATCACTGTCAGTTACAATCCATTATTCACAAGTGCGTAACGTTACTGGTATATTTTAGCGAATTTGTAAAGACGTTTATGACTGTGTCGCACTGTCGGTGTCAAAACATAACTTAGTCGAGTGTAACTTGTGGATCTATATTAATACATCAACACTTATATGCCAAGAGTTTGTTTTCTATGTCCTTTATTAAATATATTAGTCATTATTATTCCCGAACCGTCACATTCAAAGATGCCTCGAACTTGATTCAAACGTGATCCGGCGTGCATTTTAATCACAATAATTGGCACGAGTTTAAATGTTCTGATGAAGTACACTCACTTCTCCGCCTACCCGGGTAGGCGGAGGACTCAATATTCGATCTCGATTGGTAAGAGGATGTGTATATAAAAGAATACCGTACTCGAAAAATTTACGTGACTGAATCCGACTGTACGTGTAGTAGTCAGGAGTCAGAAGTTTGACATTAAAATATATATAACATGCCAGAAATCAAATTACCCACTCAGAAAGATTAATCACATTTCAAATCATGTTGGTGGTTGCAAATCTCTTCACTTAAACTAATAAACAGCGTCGTTAGGAGAGGCACACTTGATAGATACAAGGATGTGATACGAGGATACGATCTGTTCAGGACGCAAACAGTTAAATCATACATACTTCAAATTAAAATGTTTGCTTACCCCTCTGCGATTTCAGCATCCGCAGGTTTTTCTACATCACCAGACAACGTCACCCCTAAAATCACGCAAATTCCAACGCCCAGAACGGCGCCCACAATAGCTAGCTTCTTCCAGTGGGTCTTGAGGGTTCCCCCACACTCATTTTCGAAATACAGAATCAGAGAAGCCAATAGAAGAGAAAATATTCCGTTGCTCCTTGTGTGGGTTTTTTGTTGTTGTTGAACAAGCGGACGCAAGCAGCAAACAGCAGTTACTGTTGAACGTTTCAATGCGTAAGCCAAAGCCCATAAGATAATGCCCGTATCGGAATGCGCCTACCTTCCTGTCAGTGCAGTTCAGCAAACGCTCGATCTGATTGGCTGTAAATTCGCGCTGTCTCCTCCCACAGTCGAAGATTATGTTGATATTTGACGTCAGACTAGCGTCACAACGGCTCTGCCGGCCTGCTATTGAGTAAAACACATTGGCGGCTCCTTGTACATATATGGCAGTGCTCTGCAATAATTTATACTTAGCCGGGATGCTCCACGCAGCTGTGCAACATACTTCCAAATTTAATCTCATCATGCTTAAACATTTTTATTAAAAAATTAGCTATATTCGCTCCCTCCGCACCACGCCGTACCAAACCCATATGTGTAGTGCCTGGTCAACGTTGTAATTACGCAACCAACCCATGTGATGTGACGTGCTCTGTGTCTTAATTGAAATATATATTGTTTACAGTCAAATTCTCCCCCACCAGGGCGCTATAATGCATATTTTATGTATCTATCTACACGTTAACCGTTAACAGATTGAAGTGATTACGAATGATGTAAATAACTCGTCGACGCGGGGATTCACTCTCTCTCTCTCTCTTTGTTTTTTTTCTCGCTCCCACAATCCCTTTCTTTCTCTATCATACACATACGCATGTGAATCTCAACACTTCATGTACGGGCCAGTACCATCAACAACTTGGAACTTGATTGGGCTTGACCATTAGAAACTCTGGATGGGGGAAATGACTTTTTTGCTTTCTTCTATTTTCTTTTTTTCATTGGTTTTCCTGTAGGTTTTATTGGGGAAACCTTTCACTCTGTGTACTTCTTGAAATTCCCTCTCTCCTCGCCCCAGTTTATATTAGTAGTACACGTTTGATATATATATATATATGTTTTGACACGTACGTGTACGCCGTCTGTCACAGTTTGCAGGTCGGGTCGTATAAAATGCAGTT